TCCTTTCAAGACAGATTTTAGTAAATTGTTATCATCCCTGTTTATTGATATTAGGCATATTATTAATGATGTTCAAGGGATGACAGGTTTTCAGCAAAGAATGAAATTTCTCATGAACACAGTGGTTTTACAACTTAACACTTTTTAAGGAACTACACCCTTTATTAATTCCAAGTAATGAATACAGTGTTAGTTTCTTCAAAAGAGAAACAGTAAAGATACTTAAAAATCTTTCACTTTTGACCTTGTTGCCCTCTCCTTGTTTCACTTTTATAGCTGTGATGAAGGCTACGCTGGGGCGAGATGTGAGAGAGTTGACTTGTTTTACCTAAGAGGAGACAGAGGGCAGATTTTGGTGATTTGTTTGATAGCAGTTATGGTAATTTTTATCATTTTGGTGGTCGGCGTCTGCACATGCTGTCAGTAAGTACTTTTAAATTTAATTTTAAGGGAATCTGAAAACTTTTATCTTTCCTATCTTCTTTCCTTCCTTCCCTCCTTCCTACCTTTTCTCTTTCCTTTTTGCTTTGATTTAAATCACTTTTCACAGTTTGCCACCATTTATTTAGAAGCATTTATAATAAACACAGGACATATACTTTTTGTCATTTTCTGAGCATAATTATTGTAATTTAAAATAAAATTTATATAAATCTCCTAATTAAAAAAAAGGAGGTGGGCAAAATGAATGAAGGTGACCTAAATGTACAGACTCCTAGCTGCAAGATAAATAGGTCATGGGGATGTAATGTACTAATAGTGACTATAGTTAATAATACAGTATTGTATATTTGAGAGTGGCTTAGAGAGGAGATCTTAAAATTCTCATCACAAGAAAGAAAACTTTTGTAACTATGTGTGGTGATGGATGTTAACTAAACCTACTGTGGTGATCATTTTGTAATATAAACAAATATCAGGTCATACCTGAAATGAATACAATGCTATATATCAGTTATATCTCAATTTAAGAAGTCAATTATTTAGTCCTAAAGTCCATCATATTTTATGTGGGTTTGTTAACAGGCTAAACAATACTTTTATTTTCGTAAACTGTACCATGACACAACAACTTTGAAAGATGGAAACAAACAAAAATATTTTTTTCTTCGTCACATTAAAATAATGAATTTTATTTATGAAAGATGACTGCACTGTTCCTCCTGTCTTTACTTTTCACTATATACCTCATCTTTGGTAATTAAGAAAAACTTTGTTTTTTCTCTGAGACAGAATGGCTTGGTATTATTCTTAAGTTAGTTTTGGAAACTCATCAAATTTTTTATCAGGCCAGGACTCCCACATAGCATGCTAAAAAGGCATTTTCTAAAATGCTACCTTCTTGTCTTGAGAAGCCTCCTAAATTGTTACATTTACCCTGGGGCTGTGGTATTTATTAGAGGAGGGTGTTGCATGATTCCTTTCTTTACAACATTCTGGGTAGAAAGGCACTAGCATAGCTATTGGCAGTCTAGAGTGATTTTTGTCCCAGCTCTGTCATTAAACACCTTTGAGACCTTGGACAAGTTTCTTAACCTCTTTAAACTCTAATTTTATTTTCTGTAAGACAGAAGATTAAACCAAATAATCTGTAGGATTCCTCCTAGGTATAAAATTGAAAGGTATTTTTTAAGATTTTACCTACTTTATGGCAAAAAGGAGTTTTTATAAGGCCAAGTTTGGGGCAGAGCTGGGAAATGCCCTATTTTATTACATTAATTTTACTTTAAGAAAACTGGACCGCAGCCCAGAATATCTAACACACTTCTTAATTAGTGTATCTAGAAACTTAATTAACATATCCAGAGGCTACCCTCACTCTCTTGGTTTTCTTATGTCTGTTTCCATTTTGTACTATTTCTTATTTACACATTAAATAATACTTATCAGTCTATTTTGTAAAATGGCTTGGCCTGAAAAATTTTCTTGTGCTCACCAAGATCTATCAACAATTAGGTACCATATTCTTCCTATGTATCTATAACTACACCCTATCCACACTGATGCTATTGTAGCTATCATGTGAGCCTAGAGAAAGGGATGGATAAAGAGAGAACCTAAATTTAATTTTTTAAAAAAGGAACCTATACATTTTTAACAGTCTAGAAATAAGATCATAGGCTCTCTTGATTAATTTTGTGATTGCATTAACTAACAGGACCACACTAATTTCTAACACTTTGTTTTCCAAGTCCTCTTCGGAAACATCGAGAAAGAATAAAGAAGGAAGAAGAAATGGAAACTCTAGGTAAAGATATAACTCCTGTAAATGATGACATTCAAGAGACTAGTATTGCTTAATGGTAAGTGTGATAAACTTGGTAGATGGGGAACAGGTGACATTTACCTGGTGAAGTAGGGCTTAACTGCATCAAGTAAATCATTGTTTGGAATTTGATTATGTTTAAAAACATCTAAAAATAAATTGACTTTTTTTTTCATAGAATCTGAAGCCAAATAAAAGACTTTCTCATATCTTTCTTTTGGATGTCACTCTACCACAGAGATAGAATGTGGACTTTTATATACTTTTTCTAATGTACTGACATCAGTCTGCTTTCTAGTTCTGCATGGCTGTGGTCGTTGTTTTATATTCTTATAAAATATTATAAGGTACTTGATATATTTTTCCAATATATCACAAGAAAGAAGAACTTTAGTTTAGACATCTCACACTGAAAGGAAATAACAAAAGCAATATTTTAATAACTGCATTTATTGAGCATTTACCACATGCAAAGCACTGTTCTAAGCTCTTTTAAATATTCTATCATTTGGGATTTCAGCAGG